TTTATATAACTTTAATGCAAAAAACAGCTGCTTGTTTAAGTGAAAATACATTGATGGTTTATTTTGCACTAATAAAATTGTGGAGTTGTGAAGTATTTTTTCTAGTGTCAATTGTATCATCAGTTATATCGTTATCGCAAATTTTCAAATGTATATCGTGATAAATATTTTTGGTCATATCGCCCTGCTCTAGTAGTTATGATGGTTCTGTTTCTGGCTTTCCTCTTCAGGTCTGGACTATGTGAGCCATGAAGACATTCTGCCTTATAACTCCACAGAGCAGATCCCCATCCAGCATGAGCTGTTTGAGCGCTTCCTCTTGTACAACCCTTCAAAAAGTAAACGCAGATCTTTTTTCAGCTCTGTGGTTTTGTATAAGTCCACCAGGTTTCTTCTATATCTAACAGATGTAGTCGACATGTTTCCTTCCATAGCATTGTTGTTTCATAAAGTTGTGACTGACCTACATATCTTATGTATGTAGGTCTTATCTTGTAAACATGACGATCCTCTGGGCAGTTTCATGAATAAAGGTGGTGGTAATTTCTGCAGGATTGAGTGCTTGAGTGGCAAGTTTTGTAATGTTAAAGTTTATGCCTCCTATGTGAAACTGTCATTTGTAGTTTGACTTTTGGTTCCGATCCTTATAAGACCCACTCAATGGCCACCTAAAATGCCTAAGAAGCAGACTATTTTTAATGTGACTGTTTTTTGTTTTTGTAGCTCCTCCATTCACAGCCAGAGACACCCTTAAAGCATGGCAAGAGAAGAACCACCCCTGGCTGGAGCTCTCAGACGTCCACAGAGAGACAACTGAGAACATCAGAGTCACTGTCATCCCCTTCTACATGGGAATGAGGGTAGCTGGATCTTTACGGATATTACTTGTATATTATTTGTTATTGCAGCACAGCCTGAGCCCCACCACCTCACAGCTCAAATACATTTCATTGGTGTTATTTGGTGTGCTTGGCAAGATGTTGGCTTACAGCCTGTTTCTTTTTAATTTGTAGGCTTAAATGCTCCTCTGTAGTTTGCTTGAAATCTAAGGTTAATTCTTTGTTGTCCTTAGGAGGCCCAGAACTCTCATGTTTATTGGGTGAGTAGTTTTATATTTTATTGTGTAAATTAAAGACAGTGAAACACAGAAATAAACAGCTCAAATCTGTTTGTGTTGTCTTCCTGCAGTGGCGCTACTGTATCCGTTTGGAGAACTTGGGCAACGAGGTGGTTCAGCTGAGAGAAAGACACTGGAGGATCTTCAGCCTATCAGGAACTCTGGAGACGGTCCGAGGACGAGGTGTCGTAGGCAGGGTGAGCATGCTTACAAACACGAGCAGAACCACAGACAGCAACGAGATGTGGAGTTGGACAAACGCAGCAGGCCACAGAACGACAGACACGATTAGCAATGACACACAATCATCCCTCTAAGATAATACTATTACATTAGTAATATTGCACACCATATATGCATGCATGCATGTCATATATTATATTATATTACTTGTTTTTGACACTGAGGTATGTAATAGACTATGTGCACGTTAGCATATGCTACTTCCGGTGCGGAAACTCCTGTGGGGAGCTTTGCTTCCGGTGTCCTATTCGCGCCTTGTTTACGGTCCAAAACAAGTTAAGCAAATGAATGAATCAAGCGGCGATTTACATTGGATTATAGAATTCTGATCTTATGCTTCATAAGATGTGTTTTTGGGGGTCCTTTAACCAAATATAGTCCACTTAAAGGACATCTGAGATGTAATTTTTTTTTTTAATGTATTCTTTCGTTACGTATCATTACATTGCATATTACATATCATATTAAAAATAAACATGCATGACTGCTGCAAAGGCCTCAACACTAGAGTATGAATGATGAATCTTTTCAAGCCCCCAGTTCTGATATGATACAGATGCCTTGGCTCCGCTTGTCTGTTAGTATTTTGATCTGATTCCAGAGTTGAATGAACAGACTGTCGTCCTGGCTGTGAGGAGGAGACTGTCGCGTTTGTTTAGAAATGCTCAGCTCTTTGTACTTAACAGGAGCCGGTGTTGTCTAAAGAACAGCCAGCCTTCCAATACAGCAGCCACGTGTCTCTACAAGCCCCAAGTGGTCATATGTGGTGAGTCTACATCTACCTCTTTGTTCACATGCTATAAAATCCAAAGTATCTTCAGCTTTTCTCACTTAGTGTTTTTATTATTGTTGTTTTAGGGGAACGTTTCGCATCGAAAGAACTGATGGTTCTCACTTTGATGTCCGCATTCCTCCCTTCTCCCTGGAGAGCAACAAGGATGACAAAGCGCCTCCTGCTGGCTACACATTTTAAGTGTGTGCTACCACCCTCAAGCCCGGGATACGCTGCCCCAGTCCTGCTTGTGTCATTATCTAGAGTTGCCCCTGACTTGTAACATTGCTTCAGCCTTCAACCTGGGTCTAGCATCGGGAAAGCTAAGCAAAGGGGAAATTATTAGCAGTTTCTAGATTATCTAAATGCAGGCCCACCTTGCCCATTTTCTGTCCCCCCCTCCCCCCAGCAGTAAATTCTTTTAGGCTAGAAAATCAATCTGCAAGTCTGTGCACTGGAGGAGATCTGCACAGTGAAGTGGAAGAGAGCTGAGAGTTTGGAAGGTGAATTAATGCTGCCGAGCTGGGCTGGTTCTGACATGCAGTAGCTAAAATATTGACCAGTTTATTTTTATACATGATGCAGTATTCTTGTCCTGAACCCTTTTTTGTTCTCCCCCAATTGTTGTTGTTTTTGGTTTTTTAGACACTTAAAGAGACCGAACGTGTCAAAGTTTGGGCCTGTTAGTGTAAAAGTACATAAGATTTACTGTGTCACAACAATGAAGCAAACTGGAAGTTTAAAAAATATCTCAGCCTGAAATGTCAAAAATGAAACCACATGTCTATAAATCTAAAGTACAGAAAGTCAAAAATGGCAGCATAGCACTATTTGGTAGTTTAGAAGTGGTCAGCAGTTACTATCTTGAGTTAGTGCAGAGTGGTCTGTCTGCTTTGCATGTATTAATTTGCTGTTGGCTAAAACTTCCCCAGGACACCAAAAATCGAGTCATAAAGGAAAAACGCTAAACCTGACCCAGATTTGTTCTAATGCTGCTGTTTCTGCTGGGGGGGAGGGGGGGGATGATGATGATGATAAAAATAAAAACTGCCATAAACATTTCCAGATGAAGAATTTGGGTACCAAACTCTAGAATTCTTCACTTGTGTGATCATTTAGGCGTCAGTGATTGGATAAATGCCTATAACTATGGTGTGTTATTGATGTAGATTTTTGGAGATCTGATTTCTAAATGTGCTTCAGACACTCTGAAATGCATACACTTTTGTTCAGTTTTGTTAAGTAAAACTAAAAGTCACAAGGCTAAGACTTGTGAACCCTCCTCCTGCTGGTGGCAGGTCAGGTCCCCACTGACTGTGAACAGAAGCAGCTCTCTGTGGAGTCATCAGCGATGATGTTACCAGAAGATGAGTTTTGTGTGCAAGATGTCCGCCTTCCTCTCCGCCGTCTGCGCCCTACAAAAACCAAACCGTCATCTTGATCCTGTGCACATGTGGATGTGTCGTCAGGGCTGACTGTGACTTTGTGAAAGAGTTATGAGCCTAAAAGTTGTAAAATGAGGAAAGAAACTAACTCTTTTTTTTTTTTTCTTGCTTTGATAAAGTGATTTGATGGTTGAAATACTACTGTAAATACCGATGTAATTAGAAGCAAAATAAATACACCTTTTGAACAATATTCAGACTTTCTGCTGAGTTTGAGCTTGTGTGAAGCTATCAGACTTGCGTAATTGTTTCCTGTATGTGGGCAGGAAAATTGGCTTAAATCTGAGTCCCTAGTAACCGGTGGTTGCCAGGGGGTCACCGACCCATCTCTAGGTCTTTGAGAGAGTCACTATCTAGCTCAAGAAAAGTAAGGCCTTACCACAATTATTAGGGATGCTAAATATAACCACCTTGATGTAATGGTTCCACACAGCTGCCACCAGATGTCAGTGCAGGTCTTTCCCTAGTAGTATAAATAACTGAAAGCTGTTTCAATTTGTTCTTTGGAGAAAACACTCATGTATGTGTTTTAGTTTATGCCAACTAACTAAAAAAACAAAATCAATTAAAGCTAGATTTCATAAAAACTTGTAATTCCATATAAACTTTTTAAAAAAAAAATGCTTTGATATGAAAATCATTTGGGCTGACACTTCACTTCTAGCAACAGGTTTTAAAAAAACGTGGGCAGAAAAATGTGATGCTAAGAACACCTGACAGTAGTTCACCACGATGAGCGTGGGTATAGAAAAGAGCACCCCTCCAATTATGTGTCAGGGCTCAGGGAGGTGCAGCCTTGAGCCTGGTTCTACCGGAGGTTTCTTCCCCTTACAAGGGAGTTTTTCTTTCCCACTGTCGCCAAGTGATTGTTGGGGTTTTTTCTGTGGGCTCTTTATTTTACAATTTAAAGCCCCTTTAGGTGTGATTTAAATAAAAGTGACTGCACAGAGCAGTGCACAAAGTAGATCCACTCTAATCGGGTATTAACTTGTAAGTTGGTGTTGTGGTTGACAATTTCCGCAAAAAATAAATTTAAAAAAAAAGTTAGATACAAAATGCTTAAATCAAGGTCCGCTATTGGCCGATTTTCCTAGAAGATTACAGTTTAAAATGCATGACTCATCTCGACGGATACACCCTGTCCATTTCTGCCTGTGAGCAGTGCAGCTACAAACCGACACATTTTGAATGGACTCTGGTTGAAAAACCTCCTCCGCGGAGACGGAGCGTCAGCGCCGTGAAACTAGACACTTGGCAGTGCTCATACCCTCCCGGCCCTCCTCCTGCCTCTCCTCATCACCCCGCCAGGAGGAAGGAAGACTTGCAGTCACGTGCACTCGCTGCGCGCCCCCGTGCACTCGAACAGAGGGTGCGATACATAATTCGGTCCCGGGGAGGGGACACCTCAGTCCGGCCCCTTCTGTCAAAGCCGGCTGAGCAGCCGCCTGCACACAGCAGGACGAGGCGCGGATGCGACTTCTGCTTCCTGCCTGCGAATGATGGAGAGTGAGGCCGGGAGGAGGACCAGCGCTGCTTTTGTTGCAGGTACAGCGGGACTTCCAGCGGCCGAGGAGGGACAGGGCAGAACGAGGAGCACCGCAGACGTAAACACTGCCATGCCCTGCTTCATGCAGCAGCGATCCTCCGCCCGCTGCTCCTCCTCTGCTCCAGGACAGAGCGCTGTGTTCTAGAGGACAGCTCGGGAGGAGGAGGAGAGGGTAAATATTTGGTGCTGAAGTTGGGTCCGGGATAGGAGGCTGTCGCTGAGGCAGACTCACTGCTGGGGTTCCCCGGCAGCCTGACTCTGCTGAGTCCGCGCTCTGCGGCCATGCGGCAGGCAGCATCCAAAGACCTGTTCCCTACATGAGCTCCAGCTCCTGTGAGTAACAGCATAAAACTACCAGCGCTCCTTCTCAGCGTATCTGCAGTGTTGTGCTGTACTCTGGGAGCAGGCACACTTTCCACATTTCACAGAGACGTGATGAGCTGCTGACGTTTTACTGAAGCAGGTGTCTGACACAGGAATCAAAGCTGCCCCTGCATGACTGCTCTGTGGGACCAATCTCTTTGTTGCCACAGTTCACATTAAGAGGCAGCACCATGGGTGCCAAGCAGGGTAAAGGCCAGGAGCCTGCAGGAGCCAGTCCTCAGCACAGTTGGAAGCGGACACCCACCAAGGAGCGGGGAGACATCTTAGCCTCCCTCATGCTGAAGTCAGGGGACAGGCTGAGCCGTAGCGGGACGCCACCGCCACCCTACCAGCGGCGCATCGGCATGATCCAGGAGATGATGCTGATGGCCAAACAGGGCAAGCAGGATGAGGCCACGGAGATGCTGAAGACGCTCCGACAGGTAGCCGCTTAGTCTGCTGTGTGAATGATGCTTTTTCTTTCTGCACACTTCCTCTGTTCTTTCCTGTCTTGCTGTATTACCTTAAGTTAATGTCAACAGTGATGCTGAAAGAGAAGCCGGGCTCAGACTATCCGCTGATGCTCACTGACTGAAGCCATTCAGAGACTGACTTCCTGCATGCCTGATGAATTGACGTCCTCCCTGCAAGTATGCCTGGCAGTGCCTGACTCTGCTGCATGGGTACAGAGTGGAGAGAGTGCTGTGATTTACAACCTCTCTCAGTCTGGATGCTGCTGTTGCTACAGAGAGAAGAAAAAGCCCAACAACAGGCTGGGAGAATCTGGTGTGGCGAGAAACAAAAGGGAAGCAGGAGAAAGAAAATGCCACCAGTTGAATGGGATGATGTGGAGAGCGGCAGAGAAGGGAAGGGTCTGAGGATGACAGGGGTAAAATTCTGAGAAACAATCTGTGTGTTTATTACTGTGACAGTAAGGAAACTAAAAAGAAAAGATGAAGACAGTGAGGGAAGAAACTGATTTCGACACACTTCACAGAGCCCATACACTGGCAGTGTTTATAGTTTATCCCCTCGTGACTCAAACTCAGGGAGCAGCACCTGAGGCTTATAGACACATAGCTTTCCCAGATTACTGTTTGGACTTTGGAGATTTTCATCAGAATTGTTCTGTTACTATTTACTGATCAAAGCTCTATGTACTGGTGGCAGATGGCAGTGATAAGCAAACGTTAACACAAAGGTCTGTGAAGGTTCTCAGGGTGAGATCGAAAACCTGCAGGACACCGGCCCTCAAGGCCGGGAGTTGGGGACCCCTGCTCTAAAACCTGTGTATACCAGGGTTGTCAAACTCCAGGCCTCAAGGTTTTAGATCTCACCCTGGGTCAACACACCTGAATCAAATGATTAGTTGATTACCAGGTCTCTGGAGAACTTCAAGGCATGTTGAGGAGGTAAAATTTAGCCATATAAATCAGCTGTGTTGGCTCAAGGATACATCTAAAAACCTGCAGGACACTGTCCCTTGAGGCCTGGAGTTGGACACCCCTGGTGTATACCTTTCCAGATGTGCAATCTACCGTTTTGATAGGCAATAATGCACCCCAGTATCACCAGAGATGCTGATAGCAAGGGCCCTCTCCTCTTTAGTTTGGAGGATACGCTGTCCATGTTTCCCACAAAGAATTTTAGATTTGGATTGATCTGATCACAGAGCAGTTTTCTACTTTCAGTCCATTTTAAATGAGTTTTGGGTCAGAGAAGACAGCAGTGTTTCTGAATCATGTTCACATATGGCTTCTTCTCTGCATGACAGAGCTTTAACCTGCATACGTGGGTGTTCAGAGACAGTGATTTCTGGAAGTGTTCCTGATCACGTCTGTCAGTGCTGTCTGAAGGCCTGAAGGTCAAGTACATCCACTACAGGATTGGCCTTGTCCCTTGCTTACAGAGATTCCTCCAGATTCTTTGAGTCTTTTTGATGATGTCATGTACTGGAGATGATGAGATATTCAAAATCTTTGCAAATTTAGAAGTCTGGACAGTGGTGTATTAATCTGCAATTGTCTACACTTCTGAGAATCACTGGCTCTCTCAGATGATCTTTTAATACATTTTCAACTGATTTTTTACACAAGTAACCAATCAGTGTAAAAATGTTCCTGAACTTGTTTCTTGCTAATATTTTTCATGAAATAGTCAAATCTGTTCTTTTAAATGTTCGATATGCCTTAGGTATCCCATTTCGAATCAAATATGGATATGTGAGATTTTTAAGGCGTTGCATTTTGTATTTATTTACACTTTACTCAGTGTCCCAACGTTTTTGTAACTGAGATTATACTTTATGTTTTCACATGATGAAATAATAGTGACACAGTGTAATATGCAATGTTTTGTAGTTCATGTGAGGCTGTGTCTAGCTAATTTCAAGACGTGGAAAGAAACAATTTTTGTTTCCATGTAAAACAAATTAACGTTAATATGCTGGTAATTTGGTCATCTAGTAAGTTTTCTCCAGGCTGTGATCCCTAGTGTGGGATCTAATGAGATAAGCACTTCCAAACAGACCTGAGACTTCCATCTAGAAAGACTCATAATTCATATTTTGTGCATAGCTTTTTCCCCACTTACACTCCATGTTAGACTGCCAGTAACCACAAAAATGGGAAAATGAGGCATATAAGATGTTGAAATGAACCAGAATGCTTACTGGTTTACTATAGTTCCACAGAAAGTTTCAGGAAACTTAATTCTTCAAGAATTAATTTAATTGCTCAAGTTGATTTTTTTCCCAACAGGTACAAGTTCCTCCAGCACTTATTCTTTTATTTTGTTATTATTGGTTGTTTCTGTTTTCACAATCAGCTATTTCAGCATCACAAGCTCCAAGTCAGATGTTTGTAAACCTCCTGAAAGCAGAACTGCCTGAAACAAAAACTGATTTAGATTTAGTTTGAAACAGGTAGAAAAATCGACTTCCCCAAATGGTTCCTGTTTCTTGTAGGAATTTCAGACTATTTCCTCTTGAAAGAATGAGCTACTTTTAGATCTGTTTTGTTTGTTTGTTTGTTTTTAGAGATTTTCCACTTTAGAAGCAGCTTATATGGCTGCTTCAGGTACTTCTACCTAATGGCAATCAATTTAACCACTGTAGCGGCCACTACTATATCTACAAGATCTCTATCAGCACCTTGTTCTTTCTCATTGTGTCAGTAACAATAATAATCAAATAATTATTATTTATGTTATTATTTATAATAATTTATTCATTATTTTATTTATAATAAAATGTATAGCCTAGCATAGTGATGGAGGATTTAGGCCATTTGTTGTAATGCTGAGTGGTGGAAAGAAAACGTCCAACTAGCACTGAGTAATCAGTAAACAGTAATCTGGGGAAGCTGTATGTCTATAAGCCTGAGGTGCTGCTTCCTGAGCACCAAACAGTACCAAATAGGTACTCAGGGATGTTGGAGACTGAAGGATGTGGTCTGTATATATTTATCAGCAGGGTGTTCAAGCTATAGAGGGCAAATGGATAAGGCTGAAAACAAACTGGGTTGCCTTACATTTGCATTAACATAATAGAGATAATAACAGGTTTTGATGTTGGGTCATGAAGGCATAATTGGAGGAGTTCCAGTAATATAATGATGATATTTAGTTTCATGTTGCGTAGGGCCTGTGCTCTGCCGGAACAGTATGTGGCGGACAGAAACAGGATGAATTGGATAAAGACAATTACTATGAATAAAGGGAAGCAGGAGGAGAGAAAAAAGAAAGACTACCATTAGTGTTCAGCTAAAGCAGAGGACAGACAAGAAGTGGTGGTGAGTGATTTCAGAGACAGTGAAAGACAGCACTTAGAGGGAAACATGACAGAGAGAGAGAGAAGGGAAAAGGAAACAAGGAGAGATGAAAGTGAAGCGCTGATTTTGAAGAGTGTGTTGGTTACGAGCGTCTCCTTATTGTTGCTTGGAAACAATGGCGATAAACTGGTGAGCTTGAATCAAGTAGACATTGATTAATGAAACAGGAGCTCTGTTAGGAGATAATGAGGCCTTCTTCTCAATCACTGCTCTTCAATTAACTCGCAACCAAAAACTGGCATCTCTCTACACCGTTCGCCCCCGGGCCCCCTCACAGCTGATCGCTTAACTGTAAGAAAGAGCGCCGGAGCGTGCTTTACTGGCGCTAAATTTATCTGGCAGGGTTCCTTCAGGTGTTTCCACTCAGCTGCATGGGATGTTTTTGAAGCCATCACATGTGACCAGGGTTTCAGTAGTAGTAGCAGCAGTGGTGTAGCGTTGTGGTTGCCTCTAATGTCTGAAGATGCCAGTCAGCTGCTGAAAGCCTGTGGAGCTTAATGCAGGGAGTAAGTCTGGTTCACCAAACTCTGTTTCATCACAAACATGCGATGAAAGAATGGCACCTGCCTTGTGAGGAGGTATCCCATAGATCTGAATTGTGGCAGTGATTTTAGAAAACACAAATGAAATGCAAATCTACCGTTATGGATAAGGTTCGACTCTGACATGTGCTGCTAAAATTATTTTATTAGAAATGTGATGAGGGCTGAACAGAAAAATGGCAAAAATGATTAAAACAAGAATAGACTAAATGCACATCAAGGAGAAAGGGATATTATGATGTTTCAACTCTGTGTATGACACTGAAAGAGTGGGGAAAAGAAAAAGTAAGGATGTAAAAACACAGGAAAACCTTCAAAATAACCAAGGAAGTGAACTGTAAAGGACACCAAGACAAAGACCGTGACTTCATGTTACAGCAGCATGATTTGTGTCCAGAGCCTCCAAAGATTCGCTGTTTTCCCAGAACTGCAGAGGTTTCCTGTGGAGTTTTGTGCTGTTTTGATAAAGCACGTCATAAAAGAGTGGATCTGTCTCCATACATTGCACTGATGTTCACTCAGCCATCTTTTATTTTTGTCTAATCAGCACTTGAGGGGCAGTGTCTCAACGTGGTGCCATTTGATTGAATGATTCATATTGTCCGCGGCTCTTTGAATCACCATGGGTTGAGTCCTGCCGGCAGTGCTAATAAGCAAATTCAAGATCGGTCGTGCACCATTTCAATAGAGACAATGACATGGCAGTCAAAACGTCATGAAAGAAGCCCCAACAGTTACATCAGCTGCCCCTTGTTTTATAGATAGAAAAACAAGATTAAAAAAAATAAAACTCTTTCCCTCATAATTGTCATAATAAACTAGCCAGTTAACCTGTTTATTAGAAGAACAGACTAGAACAGACTCGCCATTGGATTAATAAAAATATGATAAAATAAATCTAACTAACAAAAATTAAAAAAGAAAAAAAGATATAGTCATGTGAGAATTTCTTTTTAATGTCTGCATACATATAATAGTAAAAACTATCTGACTACCAATATATGATCAGCATATACACTATATAACTTTTGTGCATAGATTGAATATAAAAGATGGCTGTGGCTTCTTAGC